CTTTAAATTGCCTAATGCACTTCTCTATATTGGTTAAGAAAAAGACTTTTTTCTCATTTAATAAAAGATTTTCTTTATAATTTTCGAATAATTTTTCCGGCATTTCCCAAATGCGCAGTAGTAAAAACCGTATTTTTCACTTCTGTACAAAGTGTGTTATGGTCTGCGACAAAATTTAAGTTGTCCAAACAATTTATTTTTTAAATAACATTTGCCTCGAGATTGATCGTAAAAATGTGATGACTTTAGTTTTTGCCGGTTATTTTCTAAAATAAAACCGTGATTCAGCCCACCTTCCTGCGAGTCTATTGCCAAAACGACGTTGTTTTTCATGCTAGCCAGGTGCCATTACGTAAACACTCATTAAAATCGTTGGTGGCTGTTAAACCCGTAATAATAGCAAAGTCAAGTTTAAGAATTTACGAGAAAACTTCTTGTTTTTAACGTTTTCTGTATTCGTTTTTTAATTGATCGATTCAAACAAGTCCCCAGTACATATCCCATGACAAACTGGTGGTGTGTATTCCCAAAAAGCTTTGTAGCAGGACAATAAACCGTACCTAAAAAGGGTCTGGTTTACTAATTAATTTTTTTTGTTTTTTTCAACATTATTATTATTAGTACGGTACGGTTTACTACAGTCCTTTTGGTACATTTCATCCATCACCAACGAACTTAACATTTGCAAATTCTGAGGGCTCTATATCAATGCTATATGTTTTTTATTTTCCATTAAAATATAAATCGTAATGTTACCAATCGCAGATTTATTTATAATGGAATAAAAATTACCATTGTTCAAAAAATATCAAGTTACTCCTTAATTTTATATTTATATATCTTGCATTTAACGTTTGAAAGTTTGGACTAGAAAAACATTTGGTGTCTTTAATCGTGATGACAAAAACTCAAATTAAACAATTGTGTGATCGGTGTGCTTTGCAAAAACCAAATAAAAATAAAAATGACACACTTCAGTGGATTAGTCAAGTACTTTTATAACTTCGAATCATATCAAAGGAATTAGAGAAATTAAACTAAAAGTATATTTTATTTTGTGTTTTGTTTTTCATATATTAGATAATCGAACACGTGAATGCTCTAATTATAACAATTATGACGATTATGGCAGTCTTGTATTCAGTAGATACTCGGGCAATGTAAAAACTAAAAACAACGAATTTATCTTGTGATAATGCGATATTATGTTTAGTTTTTTATCGCATTTAACAGATGTTACTTTAGTACCTATATTTAAAAATAAAATCCACTGAATTTACCGTTAATTACGAGTTAAAATTTTCTTGATTTTTCATTTGTTAGAAAGACAAAATGAAGAAAGTTTTAGTGTTTGTTATTGCTGGGTATTCTAAATTAATGTACAATTCCAAATCATGTAAACAAACAAACTATATACGCGAATATAAATATACATACATGTAGTACGATGGTTTTGTAGGCCACTGAATTAAATTTGCATAAGACGACCATGAATAACAATAGCAAATTATATTTATCGATGCGAATACATGTTTCACAATACGAAATTTTTACGTAAAAAGAGGGTTGCATTTTCTAATTTTTTTTTTCTATTTTCAGCTGCGCCAACAATGCCAATGCAGCCATCGACAATAAGATCGAAAAGGCAATGGTAAGTTCAACAATTTTTTTATACGTTCTCTCTCTTCACTTTTATTTAGTTTTGAAAATTTTCAAATCCTTTTTAAAATTTATTCGATCCTGAAAATATCATTTTTACGTGGAACTTTTACAATTTAATTGTGACGATTCGGTTTTGAATTTGTTTAAAAATATGTACCTATCTTGAATTTATTAAGTCGTAAAACTTCTCATTTGGTATTTGAACTCATTTAT